TTACAATAAACGTCTCTCTGGTATTCAGGAATAAGTCAGGAATTTAACTTCTCAAAATCTTATTGTTTGTTAATTTCATAACATTATGTGCCGAAGAATAATTAATCATTTTTCAGAAACTACTGTGATTTTTCCGTTTTATCATCTTCGTTTTAGATAAATTCGGCTGAATATTTATTTGAGTTTTTGGTATATGTATATGTACAAATTTTATTATTACCTGAAAACATAAACATCCTTATGTTTATTTTTAGAGGGCAGTTTTATAATGCACACTTATCATAATATTCTACTTTGTTTTATAATTCATTAGTGTGGTTACTTATGGAATATAATATGTCTGAAATCTCGAGGTCGCTTGCCAAAAGCTTCAACATCCTCCGAGTTTAGGCGTCGCATCTGCGTTTCCCTAACGCATTACAAGGCTTGCTTAACCTTATCCCAAGTATTTAACGAGTTTTAGCAAGCGATAGCATCTGTAGCCACGGCATTAAGTTTACTCTTTATTAAAATTTCCAGGAGGGTGTGACATTGGCAATTAACATCGGTTAAATTAATAACTTTAACCACCCCATTTAAATAATAAGTGTTTTAGGACCAGTGATATATCTCGGAACTAAGAATTCAATTTAAGCAACATGTTATGGCTTTCTCTGTACTTATAAATTAAATTATAAATACACAATAGTTTCTATCAATATTGTGTGAATGCTGTAGTGAAGTAAAACCTTCTTGGATGAAATCTTAATTATAAATGAAAACATATAACAATCATAGATAAAGAACAGTATTGCTTAAGATTTAAATAAGCTTAATTCATATTTTTGAGAAGTTTATTTTCTTTTTAATCTCGCCGGCTACTTTTAGTTTATAATGAAATAAATAAAATATAAAGTTTTGTTTAAGTTCATTCAGTGTTATTTATCATGTCAGCTCATGGTTTATAATAGGGATACACAGAGTTTTGACTAGAACCTTCTGTTTTATAACATGACTTTTAAATATCAATCTAACTAACCGTTTCATTAAGATAAATGATTTATGAAAGCAATTAGTCTGAGTTTGAAAAATCACCCGAGCCTGAAATATAAATTACATCTTCCTAATGCAAAGCTGGTTTTGCGTATTAATTAATTATAAGAAGAATCCATTAGAAAAACTACTTAATATCATATGCAATTTAACATTCCTTCTGTTCATTATTTATAAAAAAAATTACACTTACTTAACGAACTGCACTCACGTATGATATATTTGTTGTGGAATAATATGAAATGTAATATTAATTGTTTAATGTATGTATTATATAAAACAGTGCAGTTCTGACTGATCTTTTAATCTTCTATAAAATAGCTGTCTGTATTTAAGCTTTAAAACCACGCTGTGATATTGACAAGCCCAAGATGAGCTTAATATCTGATTTATAAGTATCCATTACATTATTTTATATCTCTCATACTATGAAAGATAAACTATATATATAAAAGAAAGTCGTGTTAGTGACTTCACTTATAACCCAAGAACGGCTGAACCGATTTAGCTGAAAATTGGCAGGGAGGTAGTTTAGAACCAAGAAATTGCAATAGGATACTTTTTATCCCGTTCGACAGCATTCCCGTGGGACTTGACATGAAACGTCAGTCATTATAAAACGTGGAATAATACAATTCACAGCTATGCAATTGACGTATAATGACAGATATGTAATGACGTATGGATGACAATTAGATATTTGTAAGAAATCAACTATATAAAAATAAAAATATTTAGGTAATGTGTTTGTAGCTTGAACTCTTAAAACCATTTAGTATTTGCGGGATAAATTTAGAAAATCATTGTTTTTCACATGGGCAGTTATATTTTGCGTGTTCACGAGTTTGGAAACTCCCGCTTTATTTGTGTTAAAGTTAGACCAAAAAACAAAAAATGTGGTTTACAAAGGAGCACTTCAATGAAACGGATAATTAGCGGACACGTATAACGCTTCGATTCGGTATCTACATACTTTGGATTCACTTTCAAATAAAAATTTTCCTTTTCAAATATAAAACAAAAAATTCTTCATGTTTTAATCACCAAACGAAATGTTATATAAAAGCTCTGGTGGCGAAACGGAGTTCGCCAGGTTTACTAGTAAATAAATATAATGAAACCTTAGTGACATTATGCAGTAATCTATTCAATCTTTTTGATATTATAAAAAGAGTGGTTTTTTATCAGCTAATTATATAATTTAGATATTCTTAAAATTATTGGACTATATCTGAAATACCACTAACAAATAAATAATATTTCTAAATTTAAGTAAACAACTCAGAAGTTATGAAATCATCTCAAAACAACCGATACTAGACTTCGATAATGTGTAAGTGCAGTGAACGTAAACAAGCAGTTGATTGTCACAGTTACCATAAACAATTTCCCATTAACAAATATCACTCTTTTGTATGTATTTTTAAATAAATAATTTATTACACTTGTATAATTACATTACTAAATCCACAATGACATGTACCTAAACATAATACCTAAGTAAATTTAATTTAAATACTTTGATTTATTTTTCATATAAATATACATTTGAAATTTTGTGTTTAAAAAACATTTTTAATGAAAATTTTATTTAATTCTACTTACTAGAAGAGTCTTATGAAAATAAATCTAAAATGGCTGTAAAAATCAGTGATATAATTTTTTTTATAGAGGCGATATTTACTTTGAAAGGTAATATACATCAATATATTTTATTTTTGTTTTTACTTTAAGCGTAATTCTTTCAATCTAATAACATCTTAAAACTTCACCCTTGAAAAAACTTTATGAATCTAACTTTATTGTTTCTTATGATACAAACAAAAATGTTATTTTGTTTTAGCATTTTTTTCTTCTACGGTCCGCGACACGATGGAGACGTGTATATATAGTACGTTTAGGGTGAAAAGTTTTTCAAATCAAGTCTTATTTTCTGATTTTTATCATTATGAAAATTCAGGGGATATATTTCTTATAAAGTTTCGAATATTCGTTACGACCAATAAAACAATGATTGCTCTATTTCTAAATTTCAATATTCCAATGATTTCAAGGAATGCTATAGTTCAATTAACACATAATATAGTTGCTAGCATCAATACACAGTCATTGCATTCCTCAATTAAGAGTGATTGCGAAGTGTATGGTAGTAAAATTATTTAAAATTCCAGTTTCATTAAAAATGAATTTCAAAGAATCCTTGTTTTTTAAATAAAATTCCTTGTAGATAATTTATTTTAATTTACAAATTACTTTAAAAGAATCTATTACTTAAGAAAGTGTGTGAATTAAAATTTCCATTCACCACCTTTACGCTTAGTCCACTTAGATATAATATCGGTTTCAATTAACACATATTAAACAAGATTACCTAGAAAATGTTTCTTTTTAAAGTTCAAACCAGCTTTTTTACTACATTTAATTTACCTATGTATGTATATAAAACTTGTCTGTTTAAACTTATGTTTGGAAATGATTTTAAGCATCTTATGTCTTTTATTTGTACAGTTCTTCTAAAAATATTCATCGTCAAGTAATACAAATGCCATCTTCACGGGAAACATATAAATTTAGTTTCCCTAAGTTTTTTTGTTTTATTATCCGTTATCTTGTTTTAATGACATATTCATCATCCACTTTCCTTTTTCTTTATTCATTTAGAATTTCAATTAAGTATCAAAAAATTATAATTTTATAGCTGTTTTCAAAGTTATGTATAAGTTTAAATGTTTTGAATATATTATACTGAATGTTGATTGTTGGGGTTTATTATTTTAAAGTTAATGGGAATAGAGGTTGATGGCTTGCCATAGAAATGACAGAGGCATGGTCAGGAAAGTTTTAAATTTTCTGGGAACAATATCTTCAAATGGTCTTAATACTTATGCTTAATTTAACTTTAGAAATTAAAGTAGATAATATCAAATTAATAATTCAACAACATGAGTGGAGTCCTTAATATTACATTCTATATTTTCTAGTTTAAATTTTCATTTAGATATTCTCTGAACATGGCTTTAATACTAAAATGTAGTTATTAATTTTTGTCCGTTATATTTTTTGCTAAAAAATTCAAAACTGTATAATATTCTTGTTTCATTTTGTGATGTATTTTTAAAATAGCTGTAAGTCTTTCTTGGTTATGTGCAGTTAACTTAAATAATATATAATTTTTTCTTTAAAGATATCCAAATAGTTTCTGGTTATAATATAATATGGTTAAAGGTTTATTGTCACTTTTAATATGGTATATTAATAAAAGAGGCTTAACCATTTTTCATAGATGATTTTTCATGAATTAAACTGCTGTTTTCCGCAAACCTCTGAAATTGGAAAGTTTGGATTTGGAAAATAAGTCGATGTGTGATGTGACAAGCGGACTTCCACTCTTTTCTTAAAAAAAGGTCCAGATTATCTCAATTTATGGTACTCCAATAAAAATAGTGACTTTGTACGCTTCAAAAAGACACATATAACTTGTTTATAGCGAAAATTTTAATGTATATGAAAAATTAATAAGTTTTATTCCTAAGACGGTTAGATTTTTTGGGTTAATTTTATAATTGACACATGAATTTTTTACCATACAAGGATGAAGTGTTTTCGTGTCCAGCTCGAATTCCAAACTAAGCTTCCATTGTTGTGAAATTCTCTTAAATCTCGAACTACTTAATCAGTTTAGAATAAACAATTATCTAGTTTTCGAAAATAATAGAAATATCTTATATACGAGTATAAGAGATGACAAAGTAAAAAAATAGCAATATAATAGCACGAAGAAAATAAAATGACCTTATTTATTTTATTTTTTAAGCAAGAGCTTAATCGATTTTCACGATATAGGCCTAGCCTAGTGTGATCGTCCACGTTGACTATAAATTGAATTGTTAAGTGTTTTTGTTAAATTGTTAAGTGATTTTTTAAAATAAATAAAAAATAAATAAAATTAATAAATAGTTCCCATTTATTCATGGAGAGTAAAACTCTCCCATGAGTCTCGAGTGATCAATTTTCGAGTGTTCAGGAACTTCTCTGGAGACAATATATTTTACAAATATTTTATTAAAATGTATTTGAAGGATGTCAAGAAGTCCTACTTATTATACGGGGTTCACTAGTTCAGAAATGAGAACCGTACTTCATGTGGGGTTGGACTTCCACTTAATTCAGCAATAATATAGTCCTAATATGAAGGACCTAGGTCGTTGTTCTGTTCGGCGTTCAAGTTTTTTAGACGTCAACATGTACCCGTGTTTTGCTTACTCCGGAATTAAATAGTATGAGTGCGCTTGATAATATATTTTACCATTTAAGGTCATTTCTCTCTTTCTCTTCTAACACAAAGTCGTCACTAAAACCGATGTCTCACGGTTAAAAAATTATGGGTAATTGGCTAAGTCTTATTTGCGTAATCTGAAGAGAATAATCTTGTACTTAAATTTAAAAAGCTGGAGGTTATATAAAATAACTTGAAATAAATTTGTAATTCTATCCTCTCTGAACCAATTATGTAGCTAAATTAAATTCTTTACAGTCAACAAAACAATTATGGTGTTTACTTGAGGGACGAGACTGGATTTTTGTTAAACTTCAAAAGATTCTTCCCAGGACCTTTGTTTATTAACAAAGCATCTTGGTCATGTCAAGAACTTTCAATGGGGATACAAGAAATAGTAAAATTTAATTAAAACAACATTTCAAGTGACCTTAATCTTAAATTATAATTGAGTGGTGTATTTTTATTTTCTCCGTCTTTTTTTATTTTATCTTATGAGCTTAGGTTTTTAATAATAAAAATGAATTATTTTTTTCAATTAAGTGAATGATAAAAGTCCTTTTTGTTTGTAAGCTTATTACTTTATAAATAAAGGTAAATTTTGGTACGTCTTTTAATTTTATATTTTCATGTATTTTTTTTCTAAATCTTTTTTAAATACAAAAATGCTCAAAAAATTTATCCACAAATGGTAATTGTTATAATTTCATGTATGTGCAAATTTATAAATAATAATTTACCAGTATGTTTTATGTAAGAAAAAATGATTTGTTTTAAAACTGAATGCCTATTTTAATCTTTACTAATATATATATCTCTATATTATATGAAACTTTATACGACTGTGACTTCTGGGCTATTAAAAATATGTACAGATAATTGTTCATATAAAGTCAACTCGTACAATACCAATTAGTAAACAAAAGAGATAATTTCTTAGAAAGTTCGGTATGCATTATGTCTACGGCAAGTTTATCATAGGTTAGAATAAATTTCTCGTGTTAACAATCCTAGTAACGTGTAAGATTGTATCACCCATGACCATACGTCTGAAATCGTCTATAGAGAAAAACAAAATAAACCTAAAAACATAGAAAAATGTCTACCTGAAGTCATTAATACACGAGGACAAAATCACAGACGGAGTAAGTAATAAATAGTGCTCATTACCTCCATAAAACAATAATAGAAAATTGTTTAGACAAGGTATTCAGTTATAAAATTTATTTGGGTCAGTGTTATAATTATAAACACTATTTATATATGTATTTTAACACTACAGCGATTCCTATCAACTGCTTGGTATTATCATTTTATTTTGCGAACAAAATTTTTAAATTAAATGTTTATGTATTTATATAAATATATGCAAGGACTATGATTATATAACGAGCCATAGTATCGAAGTATAAGTGGAAACTACTGATATTATCAAAAGATTATAATCCTGATGGCACCAGCGTGGTGGCGTCCAGTCTAAATGAATTAACGCCGATGACGTCATTAAACACTTCACAGACTTAGTTACTGTTTATAGGGAATAATGTGTTTACTATTAGTGCTATACCCTCGTAATAAACCTAAAATCGACCTAAATAAAAAATGTTGAAGGATATTTTCACGTGGAACATTATAAATTTTGCCATAAATATTATTATAAAGATTTTTTTTTATTACACAAGAGTTGTTATTGTTACACTGTATTAACACATTACAGAACACAGAAACACTTTTTTTTTTTTTTTTTTTTTTTTTTTTTTTTTTTTTTTTTTTTTTTTTTATCCTTGGGAAAATGCATTTACGCATCCCCGCCGTTTTACAACAGCGGGGTATGTGGGACTCGTTGCCACTACCCACTAAAAACCCAAGGGTGTTCCACGACGGCCCTTGTGTCGGGGCGGGGGATCGCTTTCGCACTCCCACCAGCTTCCCCGACAGGCTGGCCCGCATTCTGGGGGCCCTTCTTCTTTTGGGGGGCACTGGTACCGCCCCCCCCCTCATGTGGTGCTCTTTTCCACGCACGTGACCTCGGGAGTTGCATGGGGAACACAACCATGCAACTCCCTTTACCGTTTAGCGCGGGTTGGGGTCCGCGCCACGGGCCATTTTCATGGCGGCCTCAAATCGTCGCGGGCGTCTCTGCGGCGGCGCCCAGCACGGTGTCTGCGAGAGGGGAGGGAAGATGAGGCTTCCCTCACCCTACCGGCCTTCTCCTTCGCGGACATTACCGCCTCGCAGAAGGCGACCGCGGCGTCCCAGGCCGACTCACGCCGCACCATGCACCACACCATGTGGTGCAGTGATAAGGCCCCAGCCTCCATTGCCCCAACTAGGTCACGGCGCTGCTCCGCCCATGCTGGGCACACCTCCAAGGTGTGCTGCGCCGTGTCCTCGGGGCAATCCGCACAATGGTGGCATGCCGGAGATTCCTCCCGCCCTATTCGACACAGGTACTTCCCAAAGCAGCCATGCCCTGAGAGTACCTGTGTTAGGCGGAAGGAGAGGCCACCATGCTGTCTCTGCAGCCACTCCGACATGACGGGCCTTACCGCCGCTATCGTGGCGTGTCCCGCATTTGGCGTCTCGAGCCGCTCGTACCACTCCGCCATGGACAGCAACACCAGCTCTTTTCTGCGCGCCTCGACCGCTCTAGGCATGACCACCGCGCCTCTCTCCAGCACTTCCCCGCGCCACCTGTACAGCTGTGCGAGAAGCTTAGCCTCCAGGTCCCATGGTGGGGATCCGGCGAGTAGGGTTGCAGCCTCGAAGGAGACCGTGCGGTACCCTCTTATGGCCCTAATGGCCATCATCCTCTGCGAAGTCCGCAGCAGGGCTACGTTTTTGGACCGCAGATCTTCCGCCCAAACAGGGGCTCCATAGAGGGCCATCGATCGTACGACCCCCATGTAAAGCCTCCTGCAGGAGCCGCTTGGTCCCCCCAAATTTGGCAGCAACCTTGACAGGGCAGCCGCCACCGAGCGCAAAGTAGGGGCAAGTCGGCGAAAATGCTCGACAAAGTTCCATCGGGAGTCTAAAACAAGACCCAGATAGCGCATGGATCCTTTGACCCCGATGGTGACTCCTCCCACTACAATGGAAAAGCCGGTAGGCGGCCCCCGTCGCGGGCCGTGGAAGAGTATGGCCTCGGACTTGTTGAGAGCCACCTCTAGTCCCAACCGCCGAATACGACCCACCACTTGCGCGACCCCAGCTGTGGCCAGCACTGCCGCTTCGCGATACGTTTCGCCGAGAGCGGTGACCAGGGTGTCATCAGCGTAGCACGTTGCCGCAACTCCGGGGAGGAGTGCGCCACGCAACACCCAGTCATAACCGATATTCCACAGGATCGGCCCTAGGACCGAACCCTGTGGAACACCGCACGACATTTCTCGCCGGAACCATCCCCACTTCCCCGGGAAGACGACTTGTCGCTGTTCTAAGTAGGCCCCGATAATGCTCTGGAGGTAAGGAGGCACCCGATGGTATACTAGCGCCGTCCTTATGCAACTCCAGGGCAAGGTGTTGAAGGCGTTGGATATATCAAGAGATACGGCTAGCAACACCTCGCCCCGCGAAACCGCTCCCTCCGCTTGGGCTCTCACGCGCATAATTGCGTCAATGGTGGAGCGCCCGTGGCGGAAACCAAATTGATTATCCGCCAGATCTGGCCCCACCGTGCGCAGGTGGCGGGTAAGTCGGTCAGCAATCACTCTTTCGAGGAGCTTCCCGATCTCATCCAGCAGCACGATTGGACGATAGGCGGATGGACTGTCCGCCGGGCGCCCAGGTTTTTGTAGGAGGACCAGTTTTCCGGTCTTCCAAATAGCCGGAAATTGGTTCTCGCGCAGGCATGCGCTAAAGAGACCGCACACTCGGGGATTTAAGGCCTTCATAGCCAGTACCCACGCACGGCCAGGGATGCCATCTAGTCCCGGGGCAGTCTTCTTCCTCCTCATTTTTTCCACCGCCGTCTGGAGCTCCGCCGGAGTCACCTCAGGTACTCCCTCCTCCACCGTCCCGTCGTGGCGCAGCGTAGGAGGCGGATCCATAGATGGGGGCGTGTGCTCCACTCTGTGCGGAAACAGAGCGGCCACAACCTCCTGCAGCAGCGTGGGCCGAAGAGTCTGAGTGAGTGGCGGGGCCCATGGCCTGAGTTTCGCCCTGACCATTCGGTATGGGCGCCCCCACGGGTCCATGTTCAAAGTCTCCAGCATCTCGGTTCTGGCAGTTTCTTTGGCCATCGAGATTTCCCGCTGCAGGACCTTTTTGGCCACTCTGTACGCCTCGTACAGCTCCGCCTCACGCGTGAGCTCTTCTGCGGTCGGCACGATGTTTCCGGGGCGGCGATGGTACCTTCTGCGGTACCTGGTGTATCGGCGGCGCACCACCACGCACTCATTGCGCAGGTGCGCGATATGTGGCGACCACCAGTACACTTGTACTCTGGCTCGTCCGAGGCGAATTCTGGGCATGGCCGCGTCGCAGATTTGGGACATTGCCTCCCGGAGATCCTCCGCTTCTCTGTTAACATTGTTAGGCCTTCCCGGTACAGAAACCCAGGCCTGAACAATTGAGGCCTCCAGGAGGACCTCCGCATCCAATCGCTTAAGTGACCAACGCGGCCCACTCCAATCAGGACCCCGCACGAACGGCACATCGGAGGTCTGGGGGGAAACGTCAAACCGGATGTAACGATGATCCGATAGAGTCTCCACCCCTACGACGACACGCCAGTCCCGGACACGGCGCGCCAGTGCGGGGCTAGCAAATGATAGGTCCACTATGGACCCGCCCATCTGGCGCACACACGTGTGTTCCGAGCCCCGATTGAGTAAAAGCAGGCCGTTTTCGATGGCCCACTCCTCCAGAGATGCACCCCGGGCATTGGTTGCCGGGGAACCCCAAGCCGTGGATTTGGCGTTGAAGTCCCCGAGTACCAACACAGGATGAGGATGATAACTGCGGACAGTAGTACCCAACGCTAACAGGAAGTCTTCCCATTCTGCAAAGGGGCGGTTGGGGGAGAAATATATCCCGACAACAACGAAGTCCCCAAGTCGTGCCGCCACGAAACCTTGGCCCCTCGTTAAGCTTTCAGGGAGCCCTGAAGTAGGCCGCACAATTAGGGTTACCAAGCCTTCGATGTCGCTCACCCAATCCGAACGAGGAGCTACGAAATAAGGCTCGGCAACCACCGCGATATTGATTGACCACTGTGCCACGCTCTGGAGGAGTAGATCCTGAGCCCTGGCGCAGTGATTAATGTTGGCCTGGAGGAGACGTATGGGAGCCATTAATTTTCGTCCATTGCATTCTCCTCTACTCCTGTGGGATCCGCTGTAGGAACAAGGGCACCCTTTGTCTCCGCGCTTGGCTTATTGGGCGCTGGTCCTCGAGCCCCCTTGCACGGCTGGTGGTCCGCTGCCCTGCCAGCGTCGGCGCACTTGAGGCAGCGCGGTGCAGCCTGGCATGAAGCCGCGTTGTGGCCGGGCTCACCGCAGCGAAAACAGCATCCACTGCGGTCCACAGCTGAGGTGCAGCTAGCGCCGATGTGACCTTCGGCAAAGCATCTATAGCATCTGCCCGGCCCTGTGTCGTGCAGGCGGACCCGCACAGCCATCCAACCCACAAGTAGGCGCCCTGCACTCATCACTTTTTTAGCGACGACCACTGGGCAGCGCACCAGAGCTGCTCCCATGCCCCCTCTGGCGGTCACGATCTTTCCGGCTTTGACCTGCTCCGGAGGGCAGTCGCCAGCTTGAGCAATGGCAGCCGCAAGCTTTTCAGCCGTGACGGAATCGTCCAGCTCATATACTCGCAGCACCACGCTTTTTTGCGGTCTGGACACCGTCACAGCTTCATCTTTCAGGGCCTCCCTGAGTTTTTCAGCTAGGGCATCCGCTTTGGGGCCGCTGGTCGTCCCAGGGACCTCAAGGATGCGGGTACCAGTGCGAGATGCTCTGCACCTGAGCCCAACTATCCCGAGTCCTTGCAGATCGATTGCCGCTTGCGCCTTGGTCAATATACCGGCATAGGTGACGCCGGTATCGACGGCCCCTGGCTGCAGCGCCAGCGTTACGGCAGCAGACTTAGGGGTACGCATACTCTTTGCCTGTTGTTTGGTGACCGCCGCCTTCTTACGGGCCGCCTTCGCCACCTTTTTCTTCTCGCCCACTACTTGCCAAGTGCCTTCTTGGCTCGCAGGTATAGTAGACGCCGGTTTCGCGGCAGTAGCGGTCTTCTTTTTCTTCTTCTTTTTCTTTTCCCCAGCCCTGCGATCAGGGGCGGTTTCCGTTGCGGTTGATATCGGGACTGGTTCCGCGCCACTCTTCTCCGCAGGGGCAGCAGCGGCAGCGGTTGACTTTTTGCCCTTCCCTTTATTGCCTGCGACTGCAGCGGCAAAAGTTCCGGCGGGAACCGTCAACTCATTAGCTGTGGTAGCGGTAGTCGTGGCCGCTCGCTTCTTGTCCGCGGCCAGAGGCGGGCGGAGATTCTCCTTCTTGAGGAGGTGCCCATATCTCGCGTCAATTCTAGCCATGATACGTGAGGTGATCAGGCCGACCAGGGCATCCACTTCTGCTTCCGGGCTCACGGTCAAAGGCGCCGCTGCCGCCCGTTTTTCCCCTTGCGCAGTTTGAGCGCGCAGCTCCGCGATCTGACGCTCAGCGGCGAGGAGACGCTCCTGCATCCGCTGGTTTTCATCGCGGAGCCGCCGCGTCTCATCATTCGCCGTCCTTCTGGCCATGGCCTCGACAACATCCTTAAATCCAGCGGCTGCATTTTTTAGTGCCTTCTGGCTGGTTCCCTTCAACTGGCTGGAAGATTTGGCCACCCTCAAGACAGCCTCGGCGTAACTCGACACCACTGCCACTAGATCTCTGTCTTCCTCACCACCGCTCATTGCAACGAGGCGCGGCTGACTTCCGCATATCTCCGTCGGTTGTTGGGCAAGTTTCTGCTCAGCCTGGGCTTCCGCTGCTGCGTTCTCAGCCTGGGCTTCCGCTGCTGCGAGCTCCGCTTCTGCCAAGCTGCGTTTGGCTGCCGCCAGGCCGACGTACTTTCCTGTGGTCGGAGGTCGGCCTCGCCCCCTCTTTTTAACTTTGGCTTTAGCCGACATTGGCTCGCCCGTCTCTGTCTCAGAGGCTGTCTGGGAGCTATCGGAGAGGTTCTTTCTGCCTCTCTTACGACGCCAAAGACGGCTCGTGTCCTCCTCACCTGAGGTGGCCGACATGAAACTGATGACGGATGACGATTTAGACAGGCTCCCCGGAACTGGAAGTCTCCTAGGCCTCCCCACCGGACTCTGGAAAGTGCAAGGTGCAGGACTACTCGTCTCCACACCGACATCCTCCACCTGCTCGGGTGCCATAGGCACCTGCTCGTTTTCTTCGCCTGAGCTAGGCCTCTCATCTCCTTGCTCTCTTCCGCCCGAGCTAGGCCCACCAACATCTAAGGGTTTTTTGTTTTTTTGTTTTCTACATTCCATAACTGATCCCACGAGTAGGGCCGATCTAAAAGGTCACTCGCGGGGTGACGCCCATTCCCGCGAGAAGGCAAATACTCCCGGCCAGTGCCACACTCGACCGGGGTTGCCCCGTTAGCGACGTAGCTCCCCCTACGCCACGCATCCCTCGGCACGGTACCACACCTTGGATTTGGGGGCGGTTTTTATTGAGGTCGCCAGCCTCGTAGTCCAGACGGTAAAGCCAAGACCCCCGGTCCCCCCCTAGGGGGAGATAACGGGTTGAGAGGCGCGAAGCCCCTCCGGCCGGCGGTTAAGCCGACCCGACCAACCTTTCAGTCTTTCGACTGACTTCCTCCTTCAGTCCCGTCCACTGTGCCCTCTACTACATCAGAGGGACACGCAGAGTGACGCTCCTCCTGCGCCGCTCTTAGTCTGGCTCCTCACCCCAAGCCTGACCGGTATGGCAGAACCTGCCGGTATAGCCTTGGAGATCATTGGAGCACGCAAGCCCCCCCACCACGACAAGGTGGCGGCCCCCCGGGGGGGAGAACACAGAAACACTTGTGAAAAGGCAGCTCTCAGACATTTTTATAAATATGTGACATCGTTTTATGTGCTATCTTTATGTAACAAAATGATTTTTTTTTTCTGGCAAAATTGCATCGGATACTTTTAGTAACTGCCTTGAACGCCTTTTTTAAACGACCACTTGGTGAATAGTAAATTTTATTCTATTACAAAAAGCCGTGGTTTCGTTGTAGTTATATATGTAGCTCATAATACAATACTTTGTCCATCACACATACTAAGCGCTTGGACGGTTTTAAAATGCCATTGACTTCATGATGTATGACATCACATTGATAGTTACCTCAAATTATACTTTTATTAGCATTGTTATATTTATTTTTATTTATTCAAGTAAGGTTATGTACAAAGTTTAATTAGATTTTGAATTTATCAGTGTCCAAGACCTTAAAGCTCGTAGAATAATTTTTAAAGGTGTAAGCTCTTCATTTAAGCTGCAATTATAATATTCATACATGTTTATATAAAAGTAAAAAATATGAAATACTAGGACAAGACGTTTCCATTTAAATTTAGTATGCTCGCATCTATGCTAGGAAAATTTCGTTCCACTGAAAACTATTAAATGTTCACGTATAATTTAAAAGATTTAAATGTTCTTGAAAGGTTTTGAAATTTTAATAGATACCATCTTGCTATAAATAATTTACATAATTTACATGAAAAAAAAGGTACGAGTTTAATATTCCATTTTTTATATCTAAATAAAATAAACAATTATTTCTTTATTTACTCTTAAAAGTTGAAATGTAAAATGCTATTTTTAGTAATTATAAAATGTATTAGTTCCTCCTAGTATTTATATAAGTAGTTTGATCACAGAAACTGTTCATAATTCGTCAAAACTTTTGTTTCTTTCCAGTATCTTGAATTTGGAAGACGTATATTATTTTAAAAGTTTCTTTCAATTTTGCTCCAATTTAAATATTTTTTGCGTTTATTATCAAGTTACTTATAAGACTGTGCAAAAAACAAGATATTAAGCTGTGGGTGCATATCTATTTGTGCAGGAAATACCATAAATCAATTTTTACAATTAAATAGAGTGGATCGTGATCTGTTGTGACACTGTTGAAGAATACTACAATAAAACACCGATAAAGTGTGTGCTCGCAGTTTTAAAGTATCTGCTTAAGTAGTCGGACCGGCACGAGGTGGTCTACATGCCAGTGGAGGTTTGGTAGAGTTGTCTTGTCAAGTAGTCAGATTTAAAATAAAATTAAAACTTTGGCAAAAGTGAATGCATTAGATTAATCATAAAAAAGTGCATTTTCATTTATAATCGACCTCACTGTATATATGTTTATGCATATTTATAGTACATATGTATATGTACCGTTCCCATTTACATTGAATTAATTATTTGTGAAAGCTATCAAATTAATTGAACTATAAAATGAGCTGTAATGTCACATGCCGGTTCTGATCTGTAGTGATTAATTACTCGAGATATGTGATTTATTTAGACTCAAACTTGTTACTGTCACTGAATTGAATTTGATTGAGTAAGATATATGTGAATATTATCATCCTTAACCACATTAGAAAACTTTTAAAAACGGTTGTAACACAATAATAGAAATATTTGTTCTATAATACGTAATAATGCATTCAAATCTTAATGATTAAATTAAATATATATTTTTATTCATTTCAAATACGATTTATATAAATGTAGACTTAGACAATATAAAAAAAATCCGAATTAAGGAGAAAATGAACATCTCATATTTTAAAAGAAATTAATTTATATACAAGATACTGCAAAGGAGTGAAACATAATTATTGTATACAAGTGCCTGAAAATTTTACTCGTAAAGTTATAAGATAAACCACTGCTTCTAATGCCACGCGCAGCCACCCTGGAGTATCAAATGAATTTTAATCACAATTTATAACTAACGGTCCGCCGGAATGAATATCAAGTGCATGAATATTCGAGCAGCAGCTCAGATGTCTTAGTATAAAAAATAACAGAGGAAACTATTGATTAGATTAGTACTCTCGAATAAAATTTTAAGGTACATTTCTGATTAAATTTATCTCTCTGAAAATCTTTATTTAAAGAAAAATACCCGCTTTAAACTCTTTATCTTTGTTAGAATATGTTCCATTAATTTATTTGTCAAACTAAGGTTTACAAATTGTTTACGAGAAACACCGCATGTTGAACGCTGGAAAGGTTAAACGTTAATTTGACCGTAACTTATAGTGTCCGCAATCGTTGTAAAACATGATGGTCATAAATACGTTTCGTTTGAAAAATCTTTCAATGCTTAGTTTCAGCACACCAACATTTATAATTCTGTCAAAAGCGTTTAGAAAACATAATTGGACATAATATGATTGTTTTAAAATATTAAACCCAAAATAATCTAAATTATCCAAGTTTTCCTTTCTAGCTTTGTTATTTGAGTGTTGAAAAATATCACAATTCTATTTCGACCCTATTATTTTTGAAAAACTTATATCCAGCTATAGCTAAAGCTGTCTTGCAGTATATTGAGTGTAAGTCACTATAAATAAAAAAGAAATGAAACCCAAACTCCTGGATCGATTACATAAAATTATTTGTAACCAAATAATTTATATCCTACACAAAGATTAATCTCATTATAGTATTAAATTATTCGTTATAGTACGCATGATTATGAAATTAGTTAATCATTTATTTGTTTGAATAATCCTTAAAACTTGCTTTCCCCTATTCCCACCCTTTCCTGCTATTTCCCTATTCCGACCCCTCCCTTTTATTCTTAATCAAGGATAGCAACGCATCCGTAACACCTATGTTGCGGATGTCCATGGGCGACGGTCACTACTGCTCATCTAGTAGGCCGTCGGCTCGTTTGCCAACTTACACAATAAAAAAAAAATAGTATAATACCAAGAGCCTTCTCATAAATATATGAAGAGAAATAATAAATACCTCTTCATATAAAATAAAATTGTTGTTCTTAACCTATCAACTCGAGTATCGTAAGTAAAGATGGAAGTGCATAGGAATTCTTTAAGACTTATTAGAAAACAGTTTAATTGTCTTACTCCTTTTCATTCTATATGAAAAATATTAAATTTTCATATAGTTCTGAGTAAAAACTAGTGTAATATTTATATAAACTGAGAATTTTACAATTGTATACGACCAATAATAATATTAAAAGACAATACAAAAATAGAGAAAAACCCTCAAACATCTCATGAAATACTTACAGTCTCATGAACTTGAGTGACATTCTGACATATTACTGATCAGCGTCATTGATCTTGGGATAATACTAATATTCATTGTTATTTATAACAAAAAATAAAACGCTGAGATCAATTGTAAAAATAAAAACACTGTTTATTAAAAAGGGCATATAACATTTTATAGCTTCAAAAATCATGGTAAGTGACTTATATAATATTATTTATATAAATATAATAATAAAACAAAGTATCTTTGAAAGATTAAAAAAAGTGATTTAAAACTATTAAAAATAAGCCATTAGACGGAGCTCTACATTTACATTCTACTCTGCTCTACTCTACATGTACATTTGTGCGAGGTGGGACGCTCGATGCATCTAACAGACCATCAAAGGCCTTAACAAGATGTTACTTATTTAACATTTAAATGAAACTAATATTTTCGGATTTTACTTCGCGTTTTATTTTTGATTCGAAACTACATACTCCCGACGTTTCGGCTACTTTTCAGCAACCGTGATCACGGGCAGACGAGATGTGAGTGATATTAAATATTTAATAGTGATTAAATATTTAACATTGATTGGTGAAATTGGGTCTTAATCTCAAATGTTTATAATATTTTTTTTAAGTTGTATATATTTAATAACTTTATAATAAAAATCTGTACAATTATATTTAATCTTAAAAAAATACAGTGAGTTTGTCATTCAATTACCGTAAAATTTTATTTTATAGTTTAAGTGACATTATAAAATTTCCGAATATTAAGCTGGAGACTTTTTATATTTTTTTAAATTAATAACCATTAATTTATTTCTTTTTATTTTGCAATGTGACGTTTAAGTGAGTTTTAATTGTTCTGCGTAAAACAAAAATCGTTAAGACGTGTGTCAGTAGAACACCAAACATGTTGCTACTAATATTCTCGTTCGTTTATATAACCGCACATTTGATAATACATCTTAAAAGAAACCTCGTCCATCGTCAATGTCATGAAAATTGAATGTTTCATGCTCATATTCCGCTCTGAAGTTTCTTGAATTAAATATTAAAGTCCTTTGTCTTATAAATTGATATTGCAGTACGGCACATGCAAGTGAGCCAGTGTGTTATGTGATATTTATTAGACAGGAGTTATACTACTCGTAGTTTATTATATGATAATTTATAATAGGTGAAAAAACCTGACATTTAAACATTATGCTTTGATTTTTGATTGAGAACGACTATTTCTAAATAACTGTTAAACTAAAATCAACAGCATTATTTAGAACCAAATCTAATTTATTGTGTACCTTACTTTTGATGTTTAGTTATAAAATGGTTGTCTAATCTTATAAAGTTAACTTTGGTGTTTTTCTGTCTGTCTCATTGTAGCTTCCAAACAGATAAACCAATTTTAATACAGTTTTTATTATTGGTAAGCTGGTTTCTCTGAGAGCGTTCTGATTTATTTTTGGTTAATTTTGGTTCCGGCGTGTATAAGTTTCAGTTTTTTTTCTCAGGAAAGTTTTCAAATTGTAGGACAGTTTTAGTGTATGAATTTTCAATAAAATACTTCAAGCTCGAAGGTTTGAGCGTCAAATGATAAAGTGAAATATTGTTATTTTACGAATTGAATACATACTAGGTATACTAGTAGGGATATTGCATTCTAGTATATTGGTGTTGGCATTTGCTTTTATTTATTATTTATTACAAAATAAGTTTGATTTAAGAATACGAACAACGCGCTTGTGTAAATAATTCACGGAATTGTCTATAGATTTTTAAGAGATATTTCTAGTATGAAGTCAAAATATA